CACCTAAAAATAACTCATAGGTTAACATAAAGAGCATTTTCATGATAAATAACTATCTTTTCCAAAACAGAAAAAATGTTAGTGGGGAGTGATATTCTTTTATGTATTTGTAAATCTCTTCAGTGTTTGGCTTAATAGAATACAGTTGGATTCTTAAACCTGCTTCTGCATTCAGTATGTTGTGATACATTGTTTTGCTTATAGTATAAGAAGAAAATCTGACTTCACACAAATATGTAATTAGAAAAAGGAAGAGTTTTTTTTTTTAAAGATCAGACATAATTTATTCCAGAAACTTTTTTTTGTCAAATACAACAGAAAATTTCATCACGGAAAACATATATTTTAAGAAAATATACTGTTTTAAGAAAATATTTGTTTATAATACCACAGTTTTTATTAAACTTATACCTATATAAATGTGATGGAAGATGAAGCTCAGGTTTTTAAAAAAGCTAAGTTTTAGAAACAAACTACAACCTATTCACACAAAATAAACCACATATACACCTGATTTTCACAGCCCGGGGAAACTCTACATTGGATGACCGAATGGATCTGCTAGTGTACATTATTTTCATCTGTAGTTTGAAGGGTATATAAATTATTCAAGTGCGTAAAATGCCTAACCCAGGAGTATAAATGTTGAATATGAAAGAGTGGAAGGTTTTTCCAATTCTCCAGAAGAGAAGACTTCGGTAATCACATAACTCCTGCAGGTTGAGAAGAAGGCAGGCTGTGACTCCAAGATCTCTCCCTACCGGAAAAAGGCAGCAAACCAGGACTCTTGAAGGCAGCAAGGTAAGGAAGCACACATCTCTGAAGAAAGACCCAGTGTCGTTTCTGGAATTCAAGCCTGAGGTCTGCAAGTCCCCCCACCCTTTTTTTAATTATTTCAAAATATTAAGGAGGAACAAATGTTTTTCTTACATGGCTTGATGGGCTATAAATGTGCCCATCACCAGAATAGTGTTCACTGTACCTATTCGCTGGGTTTTTGCTCCCTCCCAGCTCCCCCCTCCCCCTGTCTGATTTCCAAAGACTTTTACTTCCTTCTGTGTACATGTGTCCCTATCAGTTAGTTCCAATTTACTAGAGAGTACATGTGGTGTTTGTTTTTCCATTCTTGAGATACTTCGCTTAGAATAATGGTCTCCAATCCTTCCAAATTGCTGCAAAAGGCATTAATTCATCCTTTGTTATGGCTGAGTAGTACTCCGTGGTATACACATACCACATTTTGTTAATCCACTCATGAATTGATGGGCACTTGGGTTGATTCCAGATCTTTGCCATTGTGAATTCTGCTGCAATAAACATTCGAGTACAGATGTCTTTTTGATAAAATGGCTTCTTTTCCTTTGGGTAGATACCCAGTAGTGGGACTGCTGGATCAAATAAATGGTAGGTCTACTTTTAGTTCTTTGAGAAATCTCAACACTATTTTCCGTAGGGGTTGTACTAATTTGCAGTACCACTATCAGTGTATAAGCATTCCTTTGTCTCTGCATCTGTGCCAGTAGCTACTGTTTTTGGACTTTTTAATAAAAGCCATTCTAACAGGAGTAAGGTGATAGCTCATTGTGGTTTTAGTTTGCATTTCCCTGATAATTAGTGATG